AAAAAAAAAGCTTACATAACTCTTTTTAGCTCCACTTTTCTCTAAATTTTTCCTTCTCTAAAAAGAGTCCCACCACTCTATTCCAAGCCTTGAGAATAGCTAGGAAGATCTCTTGGTKGTYCTTCATTGGAGCTATTTGAAGATTTTTGAAAAGCTACAAAGGTTTGTATTTTTCTCTACTTATCTCTAAGCATCATAATGTATGATCATGCATGTTTAATCTTAGGTTGTATTATGCATCTAGATTGTTATTTCGATTCTTGCTCACTTTCGCTGCGCATGTATGTATATTATCCATCAAAGCGGTGATGATGGTCTAATGGAGTCCAGTGCTGGTTCCAGCAAAGGTTCTAAGAAGTCTAGCATGAGTGATGAAGATTGGGAGGAAATGGATTTGAGAGCTGCAAGCGCAATACGAACATGTTTGAATAAGAATATTCATGCGAATGTGCATGGAATTCGACAGCTAAAGAACTTTGGGAGAAGCTCGAAGCGTTGTATCAGGCAAAGGGCATCTCAAATCGGCTGTACCTGAAGGAGCAGTTTCACACGCTGCGAATAGAGGAAGGTACGAAAGTTTCAGATCATCTGAGTAATCTCAATAGCATCATCTTTGAGCTGGAGGTGATCGAAGTGAAGATAGATGACGGAGATAAAGCTCTCAGGCTCATCTTATCACTTCCACCTTCTTATGAACACATGAAACCGATCTTGATGTATGAGAATGATACTTTGAATTTTACTGAGGTTACTAGTAAACTATTGTCAGAGGAAAGAAGGCCGAATAGTGAAGGGCGTACTTCACATGAAGATTCAGCACTGGTAGCTAGCAATTGGAAGAAGAAGAATGACTCCGTACAAAAGAAAGCTTGTTGCTGGGGATGCGGACAGTCTGGACACATGAAGAAAGATTGTCCCAACAAAGCCAGTTCGTCAAAGGGCTCTAGGCGGGATGCTGACAGTGTTTCTCTCATCAGGGGAGACGATGATCAGTTCCTTTGAAGAGAGAGAGCATTCATCCTCATGGTATGTCCGCTTTACCATAATAGAGGATGTGATGTTAGCGGTTCCACAAGTTTACACATGGGCATTGGCTTGGCGGTTATGCAAGGTGTGTGTGGTGGAAGTTATGTCGATGGTTGAAGAACTTCCAAATGAGCCAAGTAGGTGGAAGTTGCACCATAAATCTGAGCAGGATTTATCGACATGTGACGAGGAAGAAAAATCCTTGAAGGCGACATTCCAAGTGATCTACTTTTATGGTGGAGTAGGCTATAGTTCTCTGAATTGTGAATTATGATTGTCAGTGAAGACAATGAGTGCAGTAGAAGCTGTGAACTTTTTTTTCAATATCTTGCCAAGGTGGAATTTGTTGGGTTTTGGCAAAATATTGGAATTGAAGTTGTCCCACATTGGAAGAATACAAGGATGGTCTCCATGTGCTAGAAGTTGTCCCACATCGGAAAAGTACAAGGAGTAGATGTGTTCCAACTACTATAAAAGGAGCTCATGGGCTTGGGTTTTAATCATCCCAATTGAAATACTTTAAACCTGATATACTAGCTCTAGTTAACTGAGCGGTATTTGCTTTGAAAGAGTGTTTTATGTAATTGGGATCAGGGATAGAAATCTGTGTGATTGTAATAATTTTTCACATAGTGGATTTTCCCTTGTGGGCCGTGGTTTTTTCTCCAGTTTGGAGTTTTTCCACGTTAATTCTTGTATATCTTTATTTTATTGCTATCTTTAAATTTTTCAGTTATTTTCTACTTATTCATGCGGTAGAAGTATGTGATTTTTTCCAAATAGATTTGAAAGGTTCCAACTCCATGATAGTTTAAAATTCAAAATTCAAAATTATATAAACACACATATTCCATACTAAAAAATTTAGTTTGGAAATTATTGAAATTTTAAAATTTAATAATTTAAAATATATTAATATATGGGCCAATCCAACCCCGATCAAACTTTGGCTCATCAACTTAGGCTCATAGATTGCCTAGGTGGGCTATGAGCCTAGGTTTGAGTGGTTGGGCCGACCCAAGCCCGACGAAAAAATACTTGAGGCCTGTAGGGCTTGGGTTTGGGCAAAGCTTGGGCCATTACTTCTTTGGGCTGGGTCGGGCCGGCCAGACCCAATGATGAGACTGATAATGCCCCTTCAAAAGCTAGTGCGTCGATTAATTAAGGAAAGAATTTCCAAGGTGATTCTTAGCGGACGCTTTGACTATCAACACTCGACAGATCATTTTGAGGCCTTCAAAGCATTAAGGAGTTTAAATCAAAGCTCCCACACGGCGTACTATTATGTAAAGTTTGTTTGTCTAAATAGTTGATTATTTTTCAACTCAAACGAGTTCTCAAATATGCTATATCACTACTTTCATTTATATATGTTGATGTTATGCATATATTCTCGCAGTCAAAAGATTGCATAATACCAAGCTCTTGCCCCATGATCCTTACAACGTGGGAAGGGTATGTAGTTTCTCACTAAGTTTTAAAGTTTGAAAAGGATGAGAAATGTGATCTGTTTCTTCCAAATAAATTAATTTCAAATTATGATACATCTGACCGACAAGCCTAGATAAAAGAGTTATTATGACCTGTAGAGTAAACGTCGGGATGTCTAGAAAGGGAAGAAATAAAAAGACTCCAAGGTTCATGAGGATGAATATGAAAGGAAAGAGTGGGAAAAACTCGAAATGCTCGTCGATTTGGCATGTCGTAGCATCAATAAGGTTCCATGTTTCATCTACTTTTGTTGTTTCTTTTACATTGCTTATATTTGTAATTAATATTTTAGTACCTGGAAAAAAGGATATGTTTTTAAATTTTGTATGTTATAATTATGGAAACGTAAAGTAAGAAATGGGAATAGAAAATGCTTAAAGTTTTTGTCACCAGATGGATACTTAAATAATTTTTTTTAATTTGAAATAAAATCTTGTCATTCAAGATAATTTTGCATTTATCAAATTAATTTTGGTGCATCCATCTTTAGATTTGATGTTTGTAATATAAATTGCTGACACAGGTTTTATGTAAGACGAAGATAGAAGAAAGAAATAAATATGAGCGCTATGGGCATATAGAGCATAAAAGCTCTACGATAAGAAAAATGAGAGGAAAGAAAAGAAAAAAGAACATTCC